TCTCTGTGTGTGTCTGTGTGTGTGTCTCTGTGTGTGTCTCTGTGTGTGTGTGTTTGTGTATGTGTATGTGTCTTTGTATGTGTCTGTGGTGTGTGTATGTGTGTGTCTGTGTGTATGTATGTGTCTGTGTGTGTATGTGTGTCTGTGTGTGTCTCTGTGTGTATGTATGTGTGTGTCTGTTCGTATGTATGTGTCTGTGTGTCTCTCTGTGTGTATATGTGTCTGTGTGTCTATTTGTGTGTGTCTGTGTGTATGTATGTGTCTCTGTGTGTGTCTGTGTGTGTGTCTCTGTGTGTGTCTCTGTGTGTGTGTGTTTGTGTGTATATCTGTGTGTGTATGTGTGTCTGTGTGTATGTATGTGTGTTTCTGTGTGTGTGTATGTGTCTGTGTGTGTATGTGTGTCTGTGTGTGTCTCTGTGTGTATGTATGTGTGTGTCTGTTCGTATGTATGTGTCTGTGTGTCTCTCTGTGTGTATATGTGTCTGTGTGTATATTTGTGTGTGTCTGTGTGTATGTATGTGTCTCTGTGTGTGTCTGTGTGTGTGTCTCTGTGTGTGTCTCTGTGTGTGTGTGTTTGTGTATGTGTATGTGTCTTTGTATGTGTCTGTGGTGTGTGTGTGTATTTAGATGGTGACTTGGTTCATGTCAGCAAGGAACCCACCTGGGTCAGAGTTCTTAGCTAGGAGACCCACAGAGAAGTTGGAGCTCACAGGAGCAGCTGGGCAGCTCTGAGACTGAGCCTACACCCAGAGATGGCTTCTAGCCTGTGAAGGCAGCTTGAGTGAGCCCAAAGACAGTGGTGAAAGGCTGTGTCCCCATGCTTAGCCTCCATCTGTTTCCATCACAAGTAGCGTTAATCAAAGCGAAGAAAGAGGACAGTTAGAAACGTATGTGATGTGTGGCAGCCTACTTCAAGGGATATGGGGGATGATACTCTGAGCTGTCAGGGCTCGAGGGGAGAGGGAATAGAGGGCCAAGAAAGTTCAAGACATTGCAGGATGGGCCACGGCAAGCTGTGGTCAGAGATCTCAGAGTGGTAGGGTGAAACCAGGAACTGCCAGGGAGAACTTGTGCCCACCCTTTTAGAGACACAATGAGGGGAGAAGGGAAGGGTACAGCTGCAGAAACGCTGCTTGGGGCTGAAAGAGGAAGTGTGCTGGGCACCTATTTCATGTAAGAAGCATAAGGGCCGGGAAAGATGAATGTAATGCATGCTAAGCCCAGGAGATGGAGCTGAAGCTGCAGAGCCAGTGGGCTGGGAGGAGCTGGAGAACGAGGCTGTAGCTTCATGATGTGCCATAACCTCTAGGATCAACAGGACTCCTCCACACCCAAGAGTCTGAGCACAAGGGCCTTACGAAGCATAGTGTGTGCACTAGTGTCTTATGAAGGCCACAGGCTATTTCAGGTTTGATGCTGAGAGCTGCTTGAGCCAAGGTCCACATGGTCATCACGACCAGTGAATTCTCAGTCAAGGACCCCTTCTATGCGTGTAGCAGAGTTGTCTCCATGACAGTGGACACATTCACTGCAAAGTTGCATATCTTCCTTAAACCAAAAGGTAGTAACATTCCACAGTCCCAAGAACCAAAAGGTTTCAGAACTCTACCTAGAGATGCATGGGTCCCTGAGGTCACTCAGTTCAACCTGTGTTGGTCTGGAGATAGTTGTTCGGTAGCTTGCCACTGGACTATGTCCTTGAACATATATACCCTCTAGAAGGAAGATATCTTAGAAAGTAGCTCATCAGACCAATATCTAGGCTTTGAGACACTTCAGATTTGGCTCTGCTTTTACAGAGCCCAAGAGCAGAATCTTGGTAAAACCAGGTGTCTGGTCTGAGGTATTCTAATAAGTACCTCTGCATGTATTCATCATTCATAAAATACCACGAGGGCCACCAGATGCCTCTGCCTAATGTTGCTTTTGTAGTAAGAATGGAGATGAGGCTGCTGTGATGAAGACACAGATGTCTGGGTAGAGGTGGGAGGGCCTGGGGACGGGTCTTCAGAGGAGGGAGGAGGCCAACAGTGGGGTCAGATAAGAAAGGAAAGCTGGACTTGGCTGGAGGAGAACACTTCAGGTGCCCCCTGCATTTGAGAGTTTGATGTTGGTGCATGAAGGAGGGTAAGAGGTGGCCTGGTTGGGAGACCAGGAGAAAAGCAGCTGGCAAGCTCTGGCAATGAGCTGTGCACCACAGAACTGAAAAGAGAGCTCAACTTAATTTATTCTGCTTCTCCAACATCTGGAGACGCGAGCTTTCACAGATAGTGGTTTCCACTCTACTCCCCAAGCTGCAGATGCTCATTTGAGCTGGTTCCCCTTCCCTGCCTCTTGCATCTGTCACTCAAGTCTAATCCAGTCCTAGGCTCCCTCCTCTAATCTGATCGCATGAGTTAGGAATGAAAAGGTGTTGTGTACTTCTGTTTACTTATTCAAATATTTAACATTGGTTAAATATTGTCAAATAACTTGCTAGCCTATACAGCTGCCTCCCTTCAGGTCTACGGATTCCACATCCTTAGGTGCTATCACTCTGGGATTAAAAACAATTGGAAAAAAAACCAAATCCTGCATCTGTATTGCGTATGCAGGAAGTTTCCCCCTAAACAACACAGTATAACAACTTGGTGTGATTTGATTTTATTTTAAAATGTATTTTGACTTCCAATGGACACATAGAAATTGCACATATCTGTAAGGTGCAATGCAGAGTTTTCATTCATACATGCAATATAATGATTTGATCAGAGGAACATGCATTTTTCATTTCTGCATTTCTTTGTTATTGTTTTATGCTTTTTAAAAAATATTTTTCTTTATGTGTACGTGTGTGTGTGTGTTTGTGTTTGTGTATGTATGTGCCATGTAAGTGCAGGTGTCCAGAGGCCAGAAGAGGGTGCCAGATACAGTGGAACTGGACTTAGAGGCAGTTGTGAGCTGTCTGACGTGGATTGCAGTAGGAACTGAATTTAGCTCTTCTGAAGGAGCAACAAGTGCTCTTAGCTGCTGAGTCCTCTCTCCGGGCCATTTAATAAAAGAGATTTAACTATCCTCAGATGTTGGTACACACACACACACACACACACACACACACACACACACACACACAGAGAGAGAGAGAGAGAGAGAGAGAGAGAGAGAGAGAGAGAGAGAGAGA